TGCTGTAAAATAGAAAATAAATTAAAGTCCATTATGACACTCATATTTCAATGCAGAGCCAAAACAGAGGAAGTCAAATACTCAGTAGAATTCGTAAACAAACAAGCAAACCTACAGCTTCTTTCTTGACGGGTTCACCGTCATCTACACAGAAATATGCTCATGCGTATACAAAATGCATTGGTATATACGCAGAAATTTGTTCATGCGAATTGGAATGTTTTTTGTTTGGTACAACTTTCAACGTCATTAAAAACTTGTAGTAATAGTTCAGAGAGCAAAGTGACATTTAGATAATAGTTCAGGTTCACAATTTAGTGTATATTATATATTCATTTCACGTCGAGAAAGTAATCCCATTAAAAATTCTTGATGGAATATATTATATTGAAACAGATTCATTATCCATTGATCAATTGGTTAATATCTAAAAGCCACTTGCCCTGTTGTCCACTATCAGAGTGTACTATTCAAAAAAGAAAGTAACCCGTAAAAGAAACAGAAATTAGCCAGGCAACTAAACACTTTAAGAATCAAAACATTACATTGCAAATGCCTCAATATCTTTTCTTCTATCAAAATCACATTTTGCAAAAGGTTCAGTGCTTTCTCTTGCGCAACTTTTCTATTGTGTAATCTATCCAAACACATTGGGATCAGATGGGCAACCTTTCATTAGAGTTGCTATGTGACGAAAACCACGAGCCCTCCCTTGAAAGTAGATATGTGGTAATAGTGGCCAGTTAGAATACTTTTGTATCCCCTCCATAACTTCATTGTCCGTGAGAAGATCAAAACTTCCAAATTCGACCTCATGTCTCTTCAACATGTTAACAGCTATTTTGCTAAATTCACATTTGGGATCCTCAGGGGTTCCTTTCATGAAAAGCATGACTCGGTTGGAGTCAATCAGCTGTTGCAGCCGCCTTTTCAAGGCATCATCAAGGCCATCTTGCGCTTCAATTTGCTCTTGGGAAGATTCATTTTCTTTTGTCAACTCCGGAGCAGGTTCTTCAGGCTCAACTGCAACTTTATTAGCCAAACTAGATGGATCTGCACCTTCTAATGTACCATTGAACTTCTACCACCCACTCTAACAATTTAAGTTTGGCATCACAACCTGAGCCTGTCAATAGTTAAATCTCATTAAAAACAACATTCATACTGCCACTATTATCATGTACTTATCAATAATAATAAACCCCAAAACTCAATTTCAAACTAAGACCCTATATTCACATAACCTTATTATTTAAATAAAACACCAACACACACACAAAACACCAGAAAATAAACCCAGTTAGAGATGAGAAGTGGACAAATACCTCGTCCATGTGCTTCGAAGCCTCACAACTCGAGGGCCAGACCACCTTCTTGGATTGCGAAACCTTCACTGATCCACCCATAGATAACGGAGTCTTTCAAATTCTAAACCCTAAACGTGCAAAAACAAAGAGAGAGAGATGGAGACAAAAAAAAGAAAAGACAAGACTATTATATATAAAGGCAGAGGATATACAAATTTACAAGATCGGCAACATCTTCTTTAAAGAATGCTAATGTTTTGTTTAGATTAGTGGGTGAAATAACACATTTATTAATTTATTTAATTTGTTTTCCTTTTTCATTAATCAGTGGATATACACCTCAATGGGTTGAGAATCCTTTAACTTTTCTTAAGTCTTTCTAGTAGCGTGTTCATGTAACATCGTACTCATTTGGAATTAAGTTTGTGCATCTATTGTTCTTAAAAGTATAAAAGCTTATTATAATTTTTCTTTTGGACCAAGCCGAATGACTCTATGGAACACTCTTCCGAGGAATCTAAAGATCAACATAATATATTTAGTAATTCTGCGGTCCCAAAAATCAGTATAGTTGCTGGCTAGATGTAGGCACTACTGTATAATTTCTAGTACAAGTCTTGGTATATCTGGGCGGCTATACTCGGTTTATTTCAATTTATTATAAAAGAAATAGTATAGATGTGCGGCTATAATAGTTTTTTTTTTCAATTTTTTTTTAATAAATATAATGTCTTCACATATATATAGGATCCCTCAAATAATTTTATTTGAGTAGGGTCCCCTACAATTTTTTTTTTCAACAATCCAAACCATCTAGTTTTTCTAATTTTTTTTTAAAAAGAAATAATATAACCACGCATCTATACTCGGTTTTTTCCATTTTTTTTAGAAAGAAATAGTACCATTGAGCGGCTATACTCGCTTTTTCTAATTTATTTTAAACGCAATAGTATAGTCACGCGGCTAAACTAGCTTTGTCTATTTGTTTTTATTTTTTATTTTTAAGAAATAGTTTTGATGGATAGAAACAATATCCTCGTTCATAGAATACTTGGGCTGGCCTGAAAACCATCTCTCCATGAGCACAGTATTTAGGATGACAGGACCCGCGCCGGATTCCTCAAAATCTAGGACGAATCCTATCTTATAGCCCACCTACTAAAGAAATGGACTTTCTGTCGAAATTTCGGCAGAGTCTCTCCTGTAAATTGAACATTTCCCAAAATTTTCAACATGTTAAACACATTTAAGTATATCCCAACAGTCAGCATGCTTTAGAAAACGATTAAACATTACAACAAAGGCATCCGGCCTCACAAATCAAACTGTAGTACAAGCGATAATAGAGCAATCTAGGAATTTAGTTTATAAATGAAACAAAAGTTCAACATAGAGAAAAGAATAAAAGAGTTCTATGAAAGCTCGGGATTCGGAAGCTCACGACCCAACTCAGTTTAGTTCAATCAACTACTGGCTGGGGGGCACAAAACAGAAAAGTGTGAGTTGACAATAACAAGTTTATATCACAATTGAAATCAATATAGTATAACCCCACCGTTTAGAAAACAATACCTAGATTGCAAGATTTTTGGTTGCCTAAAACGTCCAAACGAGCTCCTTGAAATTTACGTAAAAATTCAGCCAAAAACTCACTTTTCTGGCAAATGCCGATTGTTCCAGCGGTCGTGAAGGGGTGGGGCAGGACGGGGGAGAGGAGCCGGTCCAGTTGGGTCTGGTCCCGTGGCCAACTGTGGCCTGTGTCAGCGGCAGTGGCCCTTGGAGCCGCCAGCTGTGAAGAAAAAAAAAGACGAGGGGGGAAGGGATTGTCGCGAGAGAGAGAGAGAGAGAGAGAGAGAGAGAGAGAGAGAGAGAGAGAGATGAGAGAGCATATTTTTATTAAACCCACTTCAAAATAATTACGATTATGCCACTGAGTTTGTTTAAATCGTAACTTATTCGTTATAACTCTGATTCGAGCCCACTACGTGTCTACGGACTCATCTTGGTACGATCTACGTAATGGTGCCAGTCATTTCCCCAAATCCTTTTGGATTAAAAAGTGACCAAATTACCCCTACCCCCGAGGGCAAAATTGAAATTTCATATTTTATGAAATCGATTAAATTCACGAATGATTATATTTTGGGTCCGGATGTTACATAGGCTGGGATATTTGTCTGTGTACTCAATTTGTTTGTTTACATCCCAGATGCCGATAGCCCAACAAAGATTATTGTTTGGTCATATGGACAAGTTGTCAAGTACTGAAAAGGGTAGTAATGAGACACCATGGGGTTAAAGTGGTGAGCAAATGCTCTCCACTTTTACAATTATAATAGCACATTGTCAAATTTTTGTTTAAAAAAGTCATAAATTCAAATTCCATAGACCATTCAAATTTTATAATACATTGTTGTTATTGAAAAATAAAAAACAAATCACATTTTACAAATTTTCTCTTCCTGAAGAGGAAGACAATCTGATTAGACGGCAATACACATGCAAATATAAGCTTAGCAAAATTAGCTAGAACGGATGATTTGATTTCATGAGTACATACATTTTTTTCTCTTCTTCTCCCTTCTCTGCACGTCTCCCCCCACCCCCAAATCAAGGCATTTAAATACCAATGAAAACCTTCGTGACTATATAGAAAAAGACCACAGTGAGAAAATTAATTGTGGTATCTTGCACATCAATCAAGCCAGGCTTGACAACAGCCTCTCCATAATCAATTACATTCTCCACCTTGGATTTTCCATGATTTTCTTAATCTTTAACAATGGAAACAATCTTTCCCTCCTTTACCTCAACTGCTCATTTACGCATTTCATAAATGAAACGAAATCAACCATTTGGTGCCAAAACAATAATGTAGAGCTGTAATGTGGTTTCAGAAATGTATGACGGACAATCGTCCAATTCGAAACTATTGTTTGCACATGCTTGCTCCATAAATGACCCTGTGAGGCGTCACGATGTCCTTGCTGGTTATCCAATAATGTTGGTAAGCAAGCAGGCTGCAGTTTTCTGATATTGCTGTAAAATAGAAAGTAAATTAAAGTCCATTATGACACTCATATTGCAATGCAGAGCCAAAACAGAGGAAGTCAGATACTCGGTAGAATTCATAAACAAACCAGCAAACCTACAACTTCTTTCTTGACGAGTTCTTCACCATCATCTACACAGAAATATGCTCATGGGTATACAAAATGCATTGGTATATATACGCAGAAATTTGTTCATGCAAATTGGAACGTTTTTTGTTTGGTAAAACTTGTAGTAATAGTTGAGGCACCACTATAGAATTTAAAAAAAGGAATTCAGAGAGCAAAGTGACATTTAGATAATAGTTCAGGTTCACAATTTAGTGTACATTATATATTCATTTCACGTCGAGAAAGTAATCCCATTAAAAATTCTTGATGGAATATATTATATTGAAACAGATTCATTATCCATTGATCAATTGGTTAATATCTAAAAGCCACTTGCCCTGTTGTCCACTATCAGAGTGTACTATTCAAAGAAGAAAGTAACCCATAAAAGATACAGAAATTAGCCAGGCAAATAAACACTTTAAGAATCAAAACATTACATTGCAAATGCCTCAATATCTTTTCTTCTATCAAAATCACATTTTGCAAAAGGTTCAGTGCTTTCTCTTGCGCAACTTTTCTATTGTGTAATCTATCCAAACACATTGGGATCAGATGGGCAACCTTTCATTAGAGTTGCTATGTGACGAAAACCACGAGCCCTCCCTTCAAAGTAGATATGTGGTAATAGTGGCCAGTTAGAATACTTTTGTATCCCCTCCATAACTTCATTGTCCGTGAGAAGATCAAAACTTCCAAATTCGACCTCATGTCTCTTCAACATGTTAACAGCTATTTTGCTAAATTCACATTTGGGATCCTCAGGGGTTCCTTTCATGAAAAGCATGACTCGGTTGGAGTCAATCAGCTGTTGCAGCCGCCTTTTCAAGGCATCATCAAGGCCATCTTGCGCTTCAATTTGCTCTTGGGAAGATTCATTTTCTTTTGTCAACTCTGGAGCAGGTTCTTCAGGCTTAACTGCAACTTTATTAGCCAAACTAGATGGATCTGCACCTTCTAATGTATCAGCCACCTTTCCATCCTGCCAAGAGACAGCACAAACAACAAATATGACCAAGAGAATAACAAAGTTAAGCTTCTGATTCGATCAAAGTTGAGCGTTCTATTGCATGTGATATCTAAACACCTCAAGTTGCAGTACAATAAAGAAAACCACTATCTAAAATTCTATCAGATTTAGTAAATCACTTTTTGAGTGGATAGTAGTTCGAATTGATAAAGGTTTCTTTTAATATCTGATAGTCTTTTTTTATGTTTGTGTTGTTGTTTTTGTTTTTGGATTGGCTGGAGAGAGAAGAAAAGAGAATCTTGTTTTTTGTTTTTGTTTTTTTATGTTTGTATTGTTGGGGTAAAGTTCATGGGCTTTTGTTTTTTGATCTGAAATTCACTGGGTATCTAGGTATTAAACAAACAAAAGATACCTAGTCAAACAAACAAAATGATACCATTGAACTTCTACCACCCACTCTAACAATTTAAGTTTGGCATCACAACCTGAGACTGTCAATAGTTAAATCTCATTAAAAACAACATTCATACTGCCACTATTATCATGTACTTATCAATAATAATAAACCCCAAAACTCAATTTCAAACTAATACCCCATATTCACATAACCTGATTATTTAAATAAAACACCAACACACACACACACACAAAACACCAGAAAATAAACCCAGTTAGAGATGAGAAGTGGACAAATACCTCGTCCATGTGCTTCGAAGCCTCACAACTCGAGGGCCAGACCACCTTCTTGGATTGCGAAACCTTCACTGATCCACCCATAGATAACGGAGTCTTTCAAATTTTAAACCCTAAACGTGCAAAAACAAAGAGAGAGAGAGATGGAGACAAAAAAGAAAAAGATAAGATAAGACTATTATATATAAAGGCAGAGGCATAATTTTGAGAAACCTTTTCCTTTTTCCCAAAGAATTTAGGGAAACTTTCAAAATAGCAAGAAATATCCTTTATTAATTAAACTTCTAAAACAAGATAACTTGAATAATATGAAATAAAATAACAAAAAAGTTAAAATATATCGTAGTGGGTACTTTTTTATTTTATAAAACTTTCATTCCTTACTTCTTATTTTTATATTTTAAAAATATATTCCTTCCAAAAACAGACTTTACATTTCAAATTAAAAATTTATATCCCTTCCAAAAATAAAATATATTCACAATAGTGAATATTGATTTGTGAATTAAAGATCGACCAGAAAACAAAAAGATTTGTGAATTAAAGTTGCGCATATTTTCGTCCCAAAAAAAAAAAGTAGGGCATATGGGTATTTTAGTCTTTTGGGCCTGATAGAGTGTCAAAATCAATCGAGAGCTCCGAAGTCAGTCAACTTGAGAGAATGTGGTGGACATTAGAGAAGACTCTTTGGTAGTGGAGACTCCATTTCTACCAAAATCGAGGAACAACTTGTCACGCCCCGGACTCGGGGGTAGGTGGAAATCCCGCGCCCGGTGCGTGAGAAAATAAATAAAATAAAATGAAAAGAAAGCCGAAATATGGTTTGAAATGAACTTCTCTTATAAAAATAGCTCCAAAATCTTACAACTTTACAAGAAATAAATAAAGCTCTACTACTCTCATCTAATTCAGCCTCAATCGATTTAGTCCTCGTCTTGCCCACTAATTCATCTGAAAAATTAAACAGAGTGAGGGATGAGCAACCACCGCTCAGTGAGTAGATTATGTAATATGCCAGTCAAGCAATGCCGTTTTACCCACTCTAGAAAATATCATGAAAAGATACACCAATCCAGATCATATCACATCATCCCTTCATATCTCGGTTATCCTTCATAGCATGTAACCAACCACGTGACCCCTACTGGCCTTACTGCCCTATGTCCCCGTGTGGTACATCTATCCCTCGGATACCCCAACATTGAAGTTCTCATGTTCCATGAATAATACATACTTCACAAATATTCCAGTCAAAATATATATAGTGTGAAAAATTGCACCAAATTAGACATGCTTGACTTGAAATAGAGAAATATTTGTAAATAGAACAAATCCACGATAATTCATGGTTTTCATATTTTATCACAAAATAAGAACTTTTAGAACACATTACATAAACCACTCACTTCGAGAATGAGGCCTTTAAAATAAATTGGCAAGACAACCCATTTACCTATCTTCATGTGCTATCACTTAAACCAAGCTCCAAGAGTTTCACCACCACTCTTTCTTCTTCTTCTTCTTCTTCTTCTTCTCTCTCTCTCTCTCTCTCTCTCTCTCTCTCTCTCTCTCTCTCTCTCTCTCTCTCTCTCTCTCTCTCTCTCTCTCTTTGCTATGCACATAATGTCCTATATATAAGGAAATAAGTCGGCAGTAAAACACTTCCTATTGGATAGTGTAATGGCGGTTGATTATACTTCCTAACCAAGTAATATATATATAGCAGATAAGGAAGAATGTCTTTGTGATTCTTCCAACTCCTCCAATCATATCCTTTTCTCTTTGGTGAGTTGGCTAACCTTGCTACTTAACATGGTTTTCACTTTGACACGTACAAGGCCTATGAATTGACAAAGACAACTAACAAGGTCTATTAATACATATCCATATATAATAGAATAAGATATTTATGTAATAAGATATAAATATATAAGTATTATTATAATAATTAGTATAACAATAATATTTTCATATATGTACCAAGATAATTACACATACTAATATATATTTAACTAAGATAATTATATATTAAAAATATAGGGTTTCACACAACTGCTGCTGCGGCGTCTAGCTACAGAAAGAGATATGCTACTTTGCTTTCATATGGAATCTCGTCTGCTGAACGAAAAATAGAAGGGGTTTTCACTTGAGCCATAGAATCAAAACAGGGCAATAGCTAAGTAAGAGCCATTAATCGTCATACCGAGGATACCATAGATCGCATGCCTCCCAAGGAGCTGATGACAATGGAGCGACTATAGGGTTTGGGAGCTTTGGATCTTTCTAATTGTGGGTTTGCGTTACATTCAAAAAGAGAGGATTGTGTTCTTGAGTTTTTCACAGAGAGGGAAAGAGGGAAAGAACTTCAACTGAAGTTGGGTTTCCAACGGGTCAGATTTCAACCCGGTTCTACATGAACCCTCTTTTAAAAACTCACCGTTGGATGAAATCCAACGGCCCTTACATACCCCTCACAAACACCCCTTATAACTTTTCCACTCACTATAGAAGCTCCCTGATAAAGTGTCAAATGGAATTAGGGCTCCTACAACAGTGGGCCTAATTTCATGAATTGTATCTTCCAGGCTTACAAATTTTGGGGATTGAGAATTAGAGAGAGGTAAGAGATAGACATTGTCATCAAAAAATAATAATTTGTTTCCTAGCCAAATGAACCATTCATTGCGTGCATTCATTTGTATCTTTATGTGTGGTCTCCCAATCTAACAATACGACAATATAATTTATTTGTTTTTTTTTTCCTTTTAAAATCAAATACAAATGTTGGATTTGATAAACTCTAATCAAATATTGATTAGAGTAATTAATGAATTAAGGAATTGGGATCATCGGATTTAGAGATATCCCTAATTAATAAGGAGCAAAACATTTTTCTATTATAGTAAGGATATGACATTTGTTGTTTACCTTTTCCACAAAGAGTTGAGTGAGGGAACTTTCCCAATTTATCATTGATCTATTGGTCCAAAATGTCGCCGTTTCAATCTCATTGACGTATGATAGCTATTACCTAACGAGAATGAATGAATTCAGCAAATCCTTTATGCGAGCCATAAGTCATAGTAATTGGCTATATATCGTATGATAACAACTAGGTCACCAATTATGACATGATTAAACTGCATAACAAAAAAAGCATTCCTGGAAACCTCGATTGAAGAAATTGAATCGTTAAGGATCCGTTTGGTATTTAACTTAAATCCAACTTTTTAAACTCAAAAACAGAATTTGAGTCCAAAACAAAGAAAACCTGTTTGGTAGCCTTATTTTTAAAAACTCAAACTCAAGAACAACTAAAAAACACTCCAATTATTAAAAATAAAAATATTTTTTTTTTTTTTTTTTTTTTTTTTTTTTCACACCCACAAGTTCTCTAAATTTTAATATTTGAAAACAATTTTCAAGTTGCATACCAAACACGTTTTTCAATCTTAAAAATAGATTTAAGAACTCCTTGTTTTTAAGAAAAATCAAAATTTTTGAATTCCCTAATTGAATAGGATACCAAACGCCCCTATTTCTTGGCATTTTTTAAGCTAATGCTTGGCACTGTGTAGTCATATGGTTGTGGCATGCTGGAGAAGTTGCTCTGCTCCATAATTTTTTAAGCTCTGTACTTCCGTAGGTTGTCGAAACATCACTTGGCCCTCATATGATATCATATGCATGCATGACATTGCCATCACTTGGCTCCGCCTTCCTTTTCTATGTGTACGATATTATTATTATTTGACTCGTCTTCTATTACAACTATTAATATCTTTGAACGTATTTCAACTCAATCTTTATTCTTCATAGGATGATATGGGGAAGGTAGCCAGCCTAGCCTCTTCGACATTTAACTTATTGTAAAGTGTTATAAATTACGAATGTGAAAACTCATTATAACATTTATTACTAAACTTTTCCATTTTACCTTTGTTATTTTACCAAGTCATCATTCAATTCAAACCGTGGTCATTCATGCCCAGTTGTTTAGTAAGTCTTTAAATTAAAATAAACTATACTACCCCCATAACAGAAAAACAAAATCATAAGATAAAAACTAGTTCAAGCATAAGAAATATAATAGACCATGTGATGCAAATTGCAATTCATTTGTGACAAAAACAATACACGATGTAGACATCAAAAGATTAGGATGCATGTTCTTTATGGCAAACGACATAAAAAAGCACTTCTTTCTCCCTTGCTTCAACTCTAAGGGCGAATATCGACCATAAAAGAATGACTATAAGGGTCGAAAGTAACATTAGGATTCAGCTTGAATTTCGGGCACTCAAATTCCATGTGTTCACCTTTCTTCCCACATATTAAACAACCCTTGAAGAGTGCACGTCCTAGGGTTAAGCCACAATTAGCACAACGTGAGCCTCTAAAGAAGCAGCCACATATAAGACATGTAACCACACAACTCTCACCAACAATTGCGTTCTCTGGGACCTCATCAATGTAAGAACATAGTTCTGTGTGGTGGTCACCCACCTTTAAACAATACTTACATTCACCTGTGTGCAATTTGTAGATCCATTGTTAAATACAATGAAAACAATAAAAATAATCTTTTTTTAAGATAATAAATGAATGAAGATGATAAAACCCAAAAATCAGTATTACGAGCACATTACATAAAATAACAACAAATACATAGATATTATGTCATAAGAGAGAGAAAAAAAATGTAAATATAAAAGGTGCATGCACATCTTTTTTGTCCCTAAAATCCAAAGCTTACCAATAAGATTAGGACTGAAGAGGCTATCGCTTACCAATAATATAGTTAGACTATTGCTTTTGTTCAAAAAAATCAAAATCAAAAGCATACCAATTTCTTCATCCTCGGATTCATCAGTCTCTGATTCATAATTCTCTGATTCATCATTCTCTGATTCTTCAAGCTGTGATTCTTCTTTAGGCTGTGATTCTTCAGGCTTGCTCACTGTTTCCATGCAATTACATTGTGAAAATACAAAAGAAAAAGAAGAAGGTGATAATGCAAAGAAGTTATAAGGAATAACATCTATGATCCCATCAACAAATAACTATATTATTAAATATTGGTTATGCTTGATGCAAGCACCAAAATAACTTGGCTAGAGAAATCATCTTTTTAACCTACAAGTTGTTTTAAACATGACATAGAACAACAACAAATGCATAGATATTATGTCATAAAATAGAGCGTATATATTTTTCTTTCTTGTCTCTAAATTAGAGAGCATACCAATAGAATTAGGAAGGCGGAGGCTAGACTATCGCTTTTATTCACACACACACACACACAAAACAACATACCCTTAGGACTGAAAGGGCCCTGGAACAGATAAAAAAAATAATTATTATGAAGTTCTTTCAGAAGTTCTTCTTTCGTTAGTTTTGTAGTCTCTGGTTCCGTCTTTGGTTCTTCGGCCTTGCTATCTGTTTACATGCAATTACATTGTAAATAAAAAAAAAAAAAAAAAAAAAAAAAAAAAAAAAAAAAAAGAAGGCAAGAGTTATGAGAATGGGTTTGAAGAAGTTAGAAGAAGAATAATAATACATGATCCCATCAACAAATAAATACCGGCTATCCATCGTGCACATACCAAAATAACTTGGCTGGAAAAATCATCTTTAAAAATTGATTAAATCTTTTGGCATAAGATATATCCTCTAATTACAACAACAAAAATAATATAAAAACAACACTTTCTTTTTTCCAAACCACACAAAGCAAGAAAATTTCACATAATCTTTCTCAGAAACCCTAAAAACAAAAATCAAGAGCATACCGGAACACTGGCACATAAGGGAGGACATATAATAGAACAATGTGACTGAGTGGAGGAAAGACAAAAAATTAAATATTTTCAATGTGAAAATATAATTTTTTATACACAGAAGCTGTGGCATAAAATTAATTTAAAGCTCAAGCAGTTCAATTGCAGATAGTCTTGGTCACCCTTTGAATTAAAAGAAAAAGTAAAAGCATACACACCGATTATTGACGTATTGCAGTTCAGAGGGGCCATAGCTGGCGAGAAAAGGTCCTTTCCGCAGACGTTGTCCGTGGCTGTGTAGAGCTTGGTGTTTGGCTTTGCGGTTGAGAGAGAAAAAAGGACTGGCGGTCGGGTGCAGGATGAATTGTGAGAGAAAGAAAGAACGGCGTTTCTTGCTTACATGTTATATAGGCGGTTTGGCTTGATTGAATAACCGACCATATTATGACCATATTAATCATATTATTTTTTCCATTTCAGTCTAAATTAAATAATAAATTATCATTAAAAACTATTAGACCCCAATGCATGCATCTTTAATAAGCAGGGCATTTATTTCTAGTTTTGATTTTCCGATTTCGTTTGGGATTTTGGTTTTCTGAATTAGAGCAGGAATATTTTGGTGATTTTGATTTTTTTGAGTCCCAAATAAAGGAAGTTAATTAATGTGGTTTTTCCTTTGTTTTACGTTTCCTTTTATTTTCAAGTTTGTGCTAATACTTCCGAAATTTGTGAGTCTTTTGTTTGTGACTCTTGCATATATACTTCCAACCAATCCAATCCAATCCAATCCCTCTGTCCTCGTTCCTCTTTTCCTTTCTTTCCATCTCCTCCTTGGACTCCTCCTGCTCTGTTGCATGCGTAAGTATCCTCACTAAAATATTTTATTACTGTATCTTGATTGTCTATATTTTAAAGTTACCCTTATTTTAACCTCCTTTATTTGTCAGTTTTTAGTTCATAGAACTAGTCACTGAATAAATGTAATGAAAAAAATCTAATCTCAAGTCAAGTAAGAATTTCTTATTTGGGTGGTTTTGTTTCATTTCTCTATTCCTTGAACTGGCCTCAATGTTCTTCTTCTTCTAACAGACCTCGTAAGCTCTGTGAACTTTGAGATAAGCTCAGATGGATTATATAAGTTTAATTGATGACAGAAAAAGTTAGAAACCATGAATTACACATTTGAACTCATTTCTAATTGTTAGCATCTCAATTGCTTATCTAATTGATTTATGAATTTAAAATCCATGCACAGATTTTGCCGAGGGTTGAGGAGAATATAATTCCAACAGCATATTATGGACTCAGTTTAAACATTTTTGTTGAAGTGACCATCTCCAAAACATCGCCATTTGCAGCATGACTTTGGACCTTTTTGCCTAAACACACACTATAGTTTCTATCTGCTCTTTTTAAAAACTGATATTCCAGAGAGAAGAAACTAGAAAATAGTAAGTAATACCTAACCACTAGATGTTCCATCACATCAGATTTAAGACAATTGATCTTTCAAAAATATAACATTGAGATTATTAGTTTAAAAGAATTTGCCTCTGGTATTTTCATCTGTGCGAGTAATTCCTTGGCTCTTTGCTAATGCAGAACCTCCTTGCTACTCAACTTGGAGTTCAGAGGATCACATGCATTACCATTTCAACACAAAAGATAAATGAACATACGTCCCTTTGCCAGATTTGGAGGATAGGTTCTTTTTCTCTCTAAGAAAAAATTAGTTAGGTTAGGTATCCGTCTGCTTTGTCACCCTTTCATCCAGACACATGATGCTGCCTGATTTTTAATGTGCTGTATTTGCCATCTAAACTGCAACACCAAATGCTTTTGGTTATCGTTCTGTTCTGACCAGCCTTATGGACTGGTGCAGATTTTTGTAAGGACCAAGCCAACATCTACAGGCCTTGAAAGGTAACTCTTTATAGTTTCCAAATCTTATGATTGCATCTGATTTCTCTTCATACTATAAAAGCGTTTCTGTGTAAGTGGATTGAACTTGTAATTAATAGCATAAATTCAATTAGATAGGTATTTACCTAATCATCAACTAGCTTATTTGTCTGCACACTTTCGGTTTCGGATTTATGGATTGGAAGCCTGCTTTTTTATACTCTGCACACAAAACATAACTTATGCATGTAGCTCCTTTAGTTTGCTTCATTTTCCAGTAACAAGTAAAATTTAAGAGCATCATATCAAAGCTCAACTCTCCAGTTACTTTTTCCCCCTAAAAGATGTTACGTTTATTAATACTTGCAATATGATATGGTACCACATTATTACATGCTGCATGTGCAAAATGTTTAAAATTAGTCACAAATTAATTCAAAATTTTTCCTCTGTACAATTTCTAGGCACGCCTCAACAGGATTGGCAAGGGGAGGTTGTTGCCCCTGTTGAACAGACCATGGAAGGCGCTTGTTGTGTTCCTACTGATAAAAACATTTCACATCCAGTCATACATATGAAACACAAGCAATTGCATTCTGATCTATTTACAACTTCTATATATAATATACAAATGACAATACATGTTGTTTCAAAAAGTGTTTTCTTATTATTCTCCCTTATAACAATTACTATTAACCAATGAAAGAACGACATGACTTCTATAAATATGAAGCAAAAAATAAGAACTTTCATTATTGTACCCATGTGAAAGTCTACAAATCCCATAACCTCTTCTAATTTTTATTTCAAAGGAAATCTGTCTTCTTCTTCTTCTTTTTTGGGGGGGAGGGGAGAGGGGGGGGGGGGGACGATAAGAAATATAATCTCGTCATCAGGCAGTTTTTTCAGAGCATCTCATCCCTGTCCCCGGTAATTCCTTGATAACCATGGAAACAAAGTTTTCGCCAATAACTTCTTACAAAATTTCAGATTTCACATATGAACAGAAAAAAAGAAGAAGTATTTTCATGTAATTCTGAGATTATCCCCAAAATTTGTCCTCAACACTATAGCCTATTGGCATTGAGGCTCACAAGTGTATTCCCATAACAGACACAATTAATGGTTTCAATGTGTCCACAGCACATTGTTTACTTACTCTAATTTCTGTCACAAACTAACAAGAGGAACAACTGACGGATGAAGCTCCATATGGATACATCAGCAACACTGTACAACTACCACAATTAACTTGTCCAACCTGATCAGCTGATGAAGGAAGAATGAGTTTTTAAAAAATAGAACATAGTTCCATCATGACAGTAATTGCGTAACTGTTGCACACTATTGCATAAACGATGACTAGATTTTAAGTCATTCCATTGGCACTTGTGGTTTAGTTGTGAACTATTGCACACTGCATATGGACCTTCGAAATTGCAGAACACATTTTGCAAGAAAAAGAATTGATTTCAACACCCTAATTAACTCAAAAGATCTGGTGTACATATTCTAATTCTATATTTCATGTTAGTTTAGATCACACATTATTTTGGGGTCATCCACTGCTTCTTTGAATGAAGTTCAATGCAACTGCAGTCTCTGTTTCTCCTTTCACATTGTTACCAAATTTTGGCAATACTTGCGCTGGGTGTACAGTATCATCACAAGATTACATGAAGTAAGAAAAAACCTACAACAATTTTGGAAAAGGAAAAAGAGGAGAGAATGAGACTCAGAACGTCGCTTACCAACATGTCAATCCCAATTTTCGAAACAAGGTGCTAGGCGGGCTGCAAGCAGGGGTCTAATGCCTAGAGGAGTAATCGGGGGCCCATCTCTTCTTTTTGTTTTTTTCATCAACATATAAATGCAATTTTCCTTCTCAAACCCTAACTCTAACACGAGCCGTCTTCCAGCCCCTCTCTCTCGCTCAGACATAACCCGCGACCTCTCTTCTTCCTCAATCCTCATCTCTCTGTCTCTCGCTCATAGCACCATCGTCATCTCGTCCCTGACCTTGGAGATTCCAAAATGGCGTTTTTTTTTCTAGACCGCCTAGCGCCCGCCTAGAGCCCGCCTAGCCCCCGCCTAGACCGCCTAGCGCCCGCCTAGACCGCCTAGCTCCCTCCTAGACCGCCTAGAGCCCGCCTAGCCCCCGCCTAGACCTCCTAGCTCCCGCCTAGACCGCCTAGAGCCCGCCTAGCCCCTGCCTATGCCGCCTAGCCCGCCTAGGCCATTTATTCAGTAATATTAACAATATAGGGTTTAGGGTTTCAAATGGTTGATGAGGAACTCAACTCCTTCATCACAACCAACTCTAGCAGCAACGTGGAGGGGAGTTTCACCCTTCTTGTTGGTGGTCCAAAACAATGGCGATTGTGGTGGGGATTTGTTTGAAGAAATCTATGTGCTTGAACTCAGCGGCAATGTGAAGTGTATTATTGTCCATAGGCGTTTTCTGATGGAGAAGATCATCTGGTACGTCAGCATCTTTATTTTTTCTCAAGACATCAACGTCACCTGATCTTGCTGCCTTATACAAGGAAGGATCTATCAAGTCATGTTTATTGATATTTTAGTGGCCGCTATATGTAAGCATCTTGACTTGTGATGAACTGCACAGAGCATATGCACAACGATTATTCCAGTGCGAGAAAGTCTTTTCAGATTCTTTGCCCTTGGTCTTAAAAATATTGGATTCTTGTCTTCTCTAGGGTGTATCTTCTAGTAGTCTCACTGTATTGGACTGGACTTCAATTAAAATGGACAAGAGTACTAGCCGTTGTATGGTGAGCCACATATTGCGCCGCCTAGACCGCCTAGCTCCCGCCTAGAGCGCCTAGCCACTGCCTAGACAGCCTAGCCCCCGTCTATGCCGCCTAGGCCATTTATTCAGCAATGTTAACAATATAGGGTTTAGGGTTTCGCATGGTCTTCATCACAACCAACTCTAGCAGCAACGTGGAGGGGAGTTTCACCCTTGCTGTTGGTGGTCCCAAACAATGGCGATTGTGGTGGGATTAGCATCTCAATTACTTATCTAATTGATTTATGAATTTCAAAACCATGCACAGGTTTTGCCGAGAGTCGAGGAGAATATAATTACGACATCATATTATGGACTCAGTTTAAACATTTTTGTTGAAGTGATCATCTCCAAAACATCTCCAATTGCAGCGTTAGTTTGGACCTTTTTGCCTAAACTCACACTTTTTAAAAACTGATATTCCAGAGAGAAGAAACTAGAAAATAGTAAGTAATACCTAATTAGATGTTCCATCACATCAGATTTAAGACCATTGATCTTTCAAAAATATAACATTGAGATTATTAGTTTAAAAGAATTTGCCTCTGGCGTATTTTCATCTGTGCGAGTAATTCCTTGTCTCTTTGCTAATGCAGAGCCTCGTTGCTAAACTTGGAGTTCATAGGATCACAAGCATTGCCGTTTTCAACACAAGAGAGGAACGAACATACAACCCTTTCCCAGATTTGGAGGTTAGGTTCTTTTTGTTGGAATCCCACATCGGTGGAGTGAAAGAAAAACAAATGGGTTTAAACAGAATTACCACACTCTAACTAATACCTAGGCCTTTTGTGATAAAACCCCACACCTGACGGATTGGGCGGGTGGTAAAGTGGGGACAGTATCGGTGTTGTTAGAGTGGGACCCAACGGGCAAATCCAAATTTTCAACATGGTATCAGAGCCAAGGCCCGTACAAGCTAACGACGCTTGTCACCAAAAACAAAAAAACAAAAAACAAAAACAAAAACAAACACAAAAAACAAGAAACAAATCAAAAACAAAACAAAAAAACAAAAACAAGTCGGACTCTTAAAAATGCCAACGAAGCTTGAAAAGAGCCGACCTCTGAGTTCCATTGAAAACAAGTGGGCCCAACGAGAGCCGACCTCTGAGGTTCAATTGCCGATGTGTGGATCTTCACATGTGATTACACGTGAGGGGGAGTGTTGGAATCCCACATCGGTGGAGTGAAAGAAAAACAAATGGGTTTAAATAGAATTACCACACTCTAACTAATACCGAGGCCTTTTGTGATAAAACCCCACACCTAACGGATTGGGCGGGTGGTAAAGTTTGGACAGTATCGGTGTTGTTAGAGTGGGACCCAACGGGCAGATCCAAATTTTCAACACTTTTTTTCCTCTAAGAAAAAAGTAGTTAGGTTAGGTATCCATCTGCTTTGTCACCCTTTCATCCAGACACATAATGCTGCCTGATTTTTAATGTGCTGTATTTGCCATCTAAACTATAACACCAAATGCTTTTGGTTGTCGTTCTGTTCTGACCAGTCTTCTGGACTGTTGCAGATTTTTGTAAGGACCAAGCCAAACCTCTACAGGCCTTGAAAGGTAGTTCTTTATAGTTTCCAAATCTTATAGTTGCATCTGATTTCTCTTCATACTATAAAGCGTTTCTGTGTAAGTGGATTGTACTTGTAATTATTAGCATAAATTCAATTAGATAGGTATTTACCTAATCAGCACTAGCTTATTTGTTTGCACACTTTCGGTTTCGGATTTATGGCTAGGAAGCCTGCCTTTTTATACTCTTCACACAAAACATGACTTGTGCATGTAGCTCTTTTAGTTTGGCTTCATTTTCCAGTAACAAGCAAAATTTTAGAGCATCATATCAAAACTGCAGAACAGGCCTTGCGATTATTAGCTAACATAACCCATCGACTCTGTTGAGCATTGTTGTTCTATTTAACAGGCATCATTTCCAACTATTGAGAAGAAAAGGAAAGTCTCTGCACACGATAAGAAGAACGAGTAAGCAACAAAACTCCTTTACTCCTCCTTATAGTGAAATCAAATACACCAAAATTTTCTGATGCGTTGATGTCATGTCAGGAAAGAAAGAAAGGAGTCTGATATCTGAGCATGAGAAAGCTTGTACTGATAAAATTGCTAAACTGGAAGAGTCCTTGAAAAAGAAGAAGCAGGTACTACCTCTCTCTCTCTCTCTCTCTTCCTTGAAAATAAAAAGAAGAAGCTTGTACTGATACTCCATGTATATATATTTGTGTAAACATGTCTCAAAACCACATTTTCTGTTTATAAACTCAGGATGACAGAACTTGCAGCGTTCTAAGAAAGACTCTTGTCTCATTTCTGGAGAGTACTTCAGACGAGGACATCCCGGCTGATGATTGAATGAACATTCAACTGTTTGAGCTCAAGTCGAGCGGCTAGACTCTTTTTTTAATTTTTTTTTTAAAAAGAAATATTACAGCCGGGCGGCTATATCGGTTTTTTTCAATCTTTTAATGAAATAGTATCGCCGATCGGCTATACTCGTTTTTAACATTTTGGTAAAGAAATAGTAAAGCCGGGCTGCTTGACTCGGTTTTAATTTTTTTAAAGATATAGTATAGCCGCGCGGCTATACCCTTCCCCAATTTTTAAAGAAATAGTAAATCCGGACGGCTACACTCTGTTTTCAACTTTTTTTAAAGAAATAGTATAGCCGATCGGCTATATTTGGATTTCGCAATTTTTACAGAAATAGTATAGCCGGTCGGCTATACTGAGTTTTCTAATTTTTTAAAGAAATCGTATAGCCGGACGGCTTTACCTGTTGTTTAATTGTTTTTTAAATAGATAGTATAGGCTATACTCGTTTTCCCCCATGTTTTAAAAGCAATAGTAAAGCCGATCGGCTATACTATGTTGTTCGACTTTTTTTTAAAGAAATAGTATAGCCGGCCGGCTAGACCCGGTCTCCCCCCCCTTCCGCTCCACTTGGATTTTCCATGATTTTCTTCGTCTTTAACAGTGGAGACAATCTTCCCCTCCTCTCATATGCAACAAAATCAACCATTTGGTGCCAAAACAATAATATAGAGCAGTAATGATCCTGTGAGGCATCACGATGTCCTTGCCGGTTATCCAGTAATGTTGGTAAGCAAGCAAGCAGGCTGCAGTTTTTCTGATATTGCTGTAAAATAGAAAATAAATTAAAGTCCATTATGACACTCATATTTCAATGCAGAGCCAAAACAGAGGAAGTCAAATACTCAGTAGAATTCGTAAACAAACAAGCAAACCTACAGCTTTTTTCTTGACGGGTTCACCATCATCTACACAGAAATATGCTCATGCGTATACAAAATGCATTGGTATATACGCAGAGATTTGTTCATGCGAATTGGAATGTTTTTTGTTTGGTACAACTTTCAACATCATTAAAAACTTGTAGTAATAGTGCAGAGAACAAAGTGACATTTAGATAATAGTTCATTTCAGATTCATTATGAATCAAAACATTCAAACAGATTCAATATGTTATATTGAAACAGATTAATCCCATTAAAAATTCTTGATGGAATATGTTATATTGAAACAGATTCATTATCCATTGATCAATTGGTTAATATCTAAAAGCCACTTGCCCTGTTGTCCACTATCAGAGTGTACTATTCAAAGAAGAAAGTAACCCATAAAAGATACAGAAATTAGCCAGGCAAATAAACACTTTAAGAATCAAAACATTACATTGCAAATGCCTCAATATCTTTTCTTCTATCAAAATCACATTTTGCAAAAGTTCAGTGCTTTCTCTTGCGCAACTTTTCTATTGTGTAATCTATCCAAACACATTTGGATCAGATGGGCAACCTTTCATTAGAGTTGCTATGTGACGAAAACCACGAGCCCTCCCTTCAAAGTAGATATGTGGTAATAGTGGCCAGTTAGAATACTTTTGTATCCCCTCCATAACTTCATTGTCCGTGAGAAGATCAAAACTTCCAAATTCGACCTCATGTCTCTTCAACATGTTAACAGCTATTTTGCTAAATTCACATTTGGGATCCTCAGGGGTTCCTTTCATGAAAAGCATGACTCGATTGGAGTCAATCAGCTGTTGCAGCCGCCTTTTCAAGGCATCATCAAGGCCATCTTGCGCTTCAATTTGCTCTTGGGAAGATTCATTTTCTTTTGTCAACTCTGGAGCAGGTTCTTCAGGCTCAACTGCAACTTTATTAGCCAAACTAGATGGATCTGCACCTTCTAATGTACCATTGAACTTCTACCACCCACTCTAACAATTTAAGTTTGGCATCACAACCTGAGCCTGTCAATAGTTAAATCTCATTAAAAACAACATTCATACTGCCACTATTATCATGTACTTATCAATAATAATAAACCCCAAAACTCAATTTCAAACTAAGACCCCATATTCACATAACCTGATTATTTAAATAAAACACCAACACACACACACAAAACACCAGAAAATAAACCCAGTTAGAGATGAGAAGTGGACAAATACCTCGTCCATGTGCTTCGAAGCCTCACAACTCGAGGGCCAGACCACCTTCTTGGATTGCGAAACCTTCACTGATCCACCCATAGATAACGGAGTCTTTCAAATTCTAAACCCTAAACGTGCAAAAACAAGGAGAGAGAGATGGAGACAAAAAAAAGAAAAGACAAGACTATTATATATAAAGGCAGAGGCATAATTTTGAGAAACCTTTTCCTTTTTCCCAAACTAACAAGAGGAACACCTGACGGATGAAGCTCCATATGGATACATCAGCAACACTGTACAACTACCACAATTAACTTGTCCAACCTGATCAGCTGATGAAGGAAGAATGAGTTTTTAAAAAATAGAACATAGTTCCATCATGACAGTAATTGCGTAACTGTTGCACACTATTGCATAAACGATGACTAGATTTTAAGTCATTCCATTGGCACTTGTGGTTTAGTTGTGAACTATTGCACACTGCATATGGACCTTCGAAATTGCAGAACACATTTTGCAAGAAAAAGAATTGATTTCAACACCCTAATTAACTCAAAAGATCTGGTGTACATATTCTAATTCTATATTTCATGTTAGTTTAGATCACACATTATTTTGGGGTCATCCACTGCTTCTTTGAATGAAGTTCAATGCAACTGCAGTCTCTGTTTCTCCTTTCACATTGTTATCAAATTTTGGCAATACTTGCGCTGGGTGTACAGTATCATCACAAGATTACATGAAGTAAGAAAAAACCTACAACAATTTTGGAAAAGGAAAAAGAGGAGAGAATGAGACTCAGAACGTCGCTTACCAACATGTCAATCCCAATTTTCGAAACAAGGTGCTAGGCGGGCTGCAAGCAGGGGTCTAATGCCTAGAGGAGTAATCGGGGGCCCATCTCTTCTTTTTGTTTTTTTCATCAACATATAAATGCAATTTTCCTTCTCAAACCCTAACTCTAACACGAGCCGTCTTCCAGCCCCTCTCTCTCGCTCAGACATAACCCGCGACCTCTCTTCTTCCTCAATCCTCATCTCTCTGTCTCTCGCTCATAGCACCATCGTCATCTCGTCCCTGACCTTGGGGATTCCAAAATGGCGTTTTTTTTTCTAGACCGCCTAGCGCCCGCCTAGAGCCCGCCTAGCCCCCGCCTAGACCGCCTAGCGCCCGCCTAGACCGCCTAGCTCCCTCCTAGACCGCCTAGAGCCCGCCTAGCCCCCGCCTAGACCTCCTAGCTCCCGCCTAGACCGCCTAGAGCCCGCCGAGCCCCTGCCTATGCCGCCTAGCCCGCCTAGGCCATTTATTCAGTAATATTAACAATATAGGGTTTAGGGTTTCAAATGGTTGATGAGGAACTCAACTCCTTCATCACAACCAACTCTAGCAGCAACGTGGAGGGGAGTTTTGCCCTTGTTGTTGGTGGTCCAAAACAATGGCGATTGTGGTGGGATTTGTTTGAAGAAATCTATGTGCTTGAACTCAGCAGAACAGGCCTTGCAATTATTAGCTAACATAACCCATCGACTCTGTTGAGCATTGTTGTTCTATTTAACAGGCATCATTTCCAACTATTGAAAAGAAAAGGAAAGTCTCCGCACACGATAAGAACAACGAGTAAGCAACAAAACTCCTTTACTCCTCCTTATAGTGAAATCCAATACACCAAAATTTTCTGATGCGTTGATGTCATGTCAGGAAAGAAAGAAAGGAGTCTGATATCTGAGCATGAAAAAGCTTGTACTGATAAAATTGCTAAACTGGAAGAGTCCTTGAAAAAGAAGAAGCAGGTACTACCCCTCTCTCTCTCTCTCTCTCTTCCTTGAAAATAAAAAGAAGAAGCTTGTACTGATATCTCCATGTATATATATTTGTGTAAACATGTCTCAAAACCACATTTTCTGTTTATAAACTCAGGATGACAGAACTTGCAGCGTTCTGAGAAAGACTCTTGGCTCATTTCTGGAGAGTACTTCAGACGAGGACATCCCGGCTGATGATTGAATGAACATTCAACTGTTTGAGCTCAAGTCGAGCGGCTAGACTCTTTTTTTAATTTTTTTTTAAAGAAATGTTACAGCCGGGCGGCTATATCGGTTTTTTTCAATTTTTTAATGAAATAGTATCGCCGATCGGCTATACTCGTTTTTAACATTTTGGTAAAGCGATAGTAAAGCCGCGCGGCTATACCCTGGTTTCCCCATTTTTTTAAAGAAATAGTAAATCCGAACGGCTACACTCTGTTTTTCAATTTTTTTAAAAGAAATAGTATAGCCGACCGGCTATATTTGGTTTTCGCAATTTTTTGCTGAAATAGTATAGCCGGTCGGCTATACTGGGTTTTCTAATTTTTTAAATCAATAGTATAGCCGATCGGCTTTACCTGTTGTTTAATTGTTTTTTAAATAGATAGTATAGCCGACCGGCTATACTCGTTTTTCTCATGTTTTAAAAGCAATAGTAAAGCCGATCGGCTATACGATGTTTTTTCGACTTTTTTTAAAGAAATAGTATACTATTTCTTTAACAATGGAGACAATCTTCCCCTCCTTTTCCTCAACTGCTCACTTACGCATTTCCAAAACAATAATATAGAGCAGTAATGATCCTGTGAGGCGTCACGATGTCCTTGCTGGTTATCCAGTAATGTTGGTAAGCAAGCAAGCAGGCTGCAGTTTTTCTGATATTGCTGTAAAATAGAAAATAAATTAAAGTCCTTTATGACACTCATATTTCAATGCAGAGCCAAAACAGAGGAAGTCAAATACTCAGTAGAATTCGTAAACAAACCAGCAAATCTACACAGAAATATGCTCATGCGTATACAAAATTCATTGGTATATACGCAGAAATTTGTTCATGCGAATTGGAATGTTTTTTGTTTGGTACAACTTTCAACATCATTAACAACTTGTAGTAATAGTTCAGAGAGCAAAGTGACATTTAAATAATAGTTCAGGTTCACAATTCAACATCATTAAAAACTTAATTTCAAACTAAGACCCCATATTCACATAACCTGATTATTTAAATAAAACACCAACACACACACACACACAAAACACCAGAAAATAAACCCAGTTAGAGATGAGAAGTGGACAAATACCTCATCCATGTGCTTCGAAGCCTCACAACTCGAGGGCCAGACCACCTTCTTGGATTGCGAAACCTTCACTGATCCACCCATAGATAACGGAGTCTTTCAAATTCTAAACCCTAAACGTGCAAAAACAAAGAGAGATAGATGGAGACAAAAAAAAGAAAAGACAAGACTATTATATATAAAGGCAGAGGCATAATTTTGAGAAACCTTTTCCTTTTTCCCAAAGAATTTAGGGAAACTTTCAAAATACCAAGAAATATCCTTTATTAATTAAACTTCTAAAACAAGATAACTTGAATAATATGAAATAAAATAACAAAAATTTAAAATATATCGTGGTGAGTACTTTTTAATTTTATTTTATTTTATAAAAATTTCATTCCTTACTTCTTATTTTTATATTTTAAAAATATATTCCTTCCAAAAACAGACTTTACATTTCAAATAAAAAATATATATCCCTTCCAAAAATATATTCACGATAGTGAATATTGATTTGTGAATTAAAGATCGACCAGAAAACAAAAAGATTTGTGAATCAAAGTTGCGCATATTTGAGTAATGCTACACTTACCACATTTTTATCCCACATTTCTATACCACATGATGTGGCATGTCCATATCATATGCCACATTAATTAAATGAGTGAAGTGTATTTTAATAAATAAAATTAGAAAAACATAAACTAGTATTTTACATGATGTGGTATGTACACATCAGCTGCCACATCATGTGGTATGAAATTGTAGTATAAAAATGTGGTAAGACTAGTATTATTCCGCATATTTTCGTCCCAAAAAAAAAACTTGGGCATATGAGTATTTTAGTCTTTTGGCCCTGATGGAGTGTCAAATGGAATTAGGGCTCCTACAACAGTGGGCCTGATTTCATGAATTGTATCTTCCAGGCTTACAAATTTTGGGGATTGAGAATTAGAGAGAGGTAAGAGATAGACATTGTCATAAAATAAAAAAATTTGTTTCCTAGCCAAATGAACTATTCATTGCGTGCATTCATTTGTATCTTTACGTGTGGTCTCCCAATCTAACAATACGACAATATAATTTATTTGTTTTTTTTTCCTTTTAAAATCAAATACAAATGTTGGATTTGATAAACTCTAATCAATATTTGATTTGATTAATTAATGAATAAGGAATTGGGATCATCGGATTTAGAGATATCCCTAATTAATAAGGAGAAAAACATTTTTCTATTATAGTAGGATATGACATTTGTTGTTTACCATTTTCTTCAAGAAAGAGTTGAGTGAGGGAACTTTCACAATTTATCATTGATGTATTGGTCCAAAATTTATTCGTTTCAATCTCATTGACGTATGATAGCTAACGAGAATGAATGAATTCAGCAAATCCTTTATGCGAGCCATAAGTTACAGTAATTGGCTATATATCGTATGATAACAACTAGGTCACCAATTATGACATGATTAAACTGCATAAAAAAAAAAAAGCATTCCTGGAAACCTCGATTGAAGAAATTGAATCTTTAAGAGTCTGTTTGGTATTCAACTTAAATCCAACTTTTTAAACTCAAAAACAGAATTTGAGTTCAAAACAAAGAAAACTTGTTTGGTAGCCCTATTTTTAAAAACTCAAACTCAAGAACAACTAAAAAACACTTCAATTATTAAATATAAAAAATATATGTTCTTTTTTAGTAAATTTAGGTTTTAGCCACAAAAAAAACTTTCACTTTTGAAAAAAGTCAAAACTTTTTCAAAAAATACAGAAAAACCTCTCAACTTTCAAATCAAAGACATGCAAATGTAAAGGATTCCTTAGGAAATCCAAAAATAAATAAGGGCAATTTTGTCCATTTTGGCTTCTTTTAAAAAATTTCTCTCCTTTGGCCTTTTCCAAAGTCCCCCTTCTTCTTTTTTCCACAACCCACAAACCCACAAGTTCTCTAAATTTTAATATTTGAAAACAGTTTTCAAGATGCATACCAAACACGTTTTTCAATCTTAAAAATAGATTTAAGAACTCCTTGTTTTTAAGCAAAATCAAAATTTTTGAGTTCCCTATTTTAATTCTTGGCATTTTTTAAGCTAATGCTTGGCACTGTGTAGTTATATGGTTGTCTCATGCTGCAGAAGTTGCTCTGCTCCATAATTTTGTAAGCTCTGTACTTCCATAGGTTGTCGAAACATCACATATGATATCATATGCATGCATGACACTGCCATCACTTGGCTCCGCCTTCCTTTTCTATGGGTACGATATTATTAATATTTGACTCGTCTTCTATTACAACTATTAATATCTTTGAATGTATTTCAACTCGATCTTTATTCTTCATAGGATGATATGGGGAAGGTAGCCAGCCTAGCCTCTTCGACGTTTAACTTATTGTAAAGTGTTATAAATTCCGGATGTGAAAACTCATTATAATATTTATTACTAAACTTTTCCATTTTACCTTTGTTATTTTACCAATTCATCATTGAATTCAAACCGTGGTCATTCATGCCTAGTTGTTTAGCAAGTCTTTAAATTAAAATAAAGTATACTAACCCCATAAGAGAAAAACAAAATCATAAGATAAAAACTAGTTCAAGCATAAGAATATAATAGACCATGTTATGCAAATTGCAATTCATTTGTGACAAAAACAATACACAATGTAGACATCAAAAGATTAGGATGCATGCTATTTATGGCAAACGACATAAAAAAAAACACCTCTTTCTCCCTTGCTTTAACTCTAGAGTACAATTAAGGGCGATTATCGACCATAAAGAACGACCATAAGGGTCGAAAGAAAAATCAGGATTCGGCTCGAGTTCCGGGCACTCAAATTCCATGTGTTCACCTCGCTTCCCACATATTAAACAATCCTTGAAGAGTGCATGTCCTAGGGTTATGCCACAATTAGCACAACGCGAGTCTCTAAAGAAGCAGCCACATACAAGACATGTAACCACACAACTCTCACCAACAATTGCGTTCTCTGGGACCTCATCAATGTAAGAGCATAGTTCTGTATGGTGGTCACCCACCTTTAAACAATACTTACATTCACCTGTGTGCAATTTGTAGATCCATTGTTAAATACAATGAAAACAATAAAAATAATCTTTTTGTTAAGACAATAAAAAAATGAAGATGATAAAACCCAAAAATCAGTAGTACGAGCACATTACATAAAATAACAACAAATACATAGATATTATGTCATAAGAGAGAAAAAAAATGTAAATATAAAAGGTGCATGCACATCTTTTTTGTCCCTAAAATCCAAAGCCTAAGATTAGGACGGAAGAGGCTATCGCTTACCAATAATATAGTTAGACTATTGCTTCTGTTCAAAAAAAAAAATTCAAAATCAAAAAAAGCATACCAATTTCTTCATCCTCTGATTCATCAGTCTCTGATTCAAAATTCTCTGATTCATCATTCTCTGATTCATCATGCTGTGATTCTTCAGGCTGTGATTCTTCTTTAGGTTGTGATTCTTCATGCTTGCTCCCTGTTTCCATGCAATTACATTGTGAAAATACAAAAGAAAAAGAAGAAGGTGATAATGCAAAGAAGTTATAAGGAATAACATCTATGATCCCATCAACAAATAACTATATCATTAAATATTGGTTATGCTTGATGCAAGCACCAAAATAACTTGGCTAGAGAAATCATCTTTTTAACCTACAAGTTGTTTTAAACATGACATAGAACAACAACAAATGCATAGATATTATGTCATAAAATAGAGCATATATATTTTTCTTTCTTATTGTCTCTAAATTAGAGAGCATACCAATAGAATTAGGAAGGCGGAGGCTAGACTATCGCTTTTATTCACACACGCGCACACACACAAAACAACATACCCTTAGGACTGAAAGGGCCCTGGAACAGATAAAAAAATAATTATTATGAAGTTCTTTCAGAAGTTCTTCTTTCGTTAGTTTTGTAGTCTCTAGTTCCGTCTTTGGTTCTTCGGCCTTGCTATCTGTTTACATGCAATTACATTGTAAATGCCAAAAAAAAAAAAAAAAAAAAAAAAAAAAAAAAAGAAAGGCAAGAGTTATGAGAATGGTTTGAAGAAGTTAGAAGGAATAATATACATGATCCCATCAACAAATAAATACCGGCTATCCATCGTGCACATACCAAAATAACTTGGCTGGAAAAATCATCTTTAAAAATTGATTAAATCTTTTGGCATAAGATATATCCTCTAATTACAACAACAAAAATAAAATAAAAACAACACTTTCTTTTTTCCAAACCACACAAAGCCCAAGAAAATTTCATATAATCTTTCTCAGAAACCCTAAAAACAAAAATCAAGAGCATACCGGAACACTAGCACATAAGGGAGGACATATAATAGAACAATGTGACTGAGTGGAGGAAAGACAAAAAATTAAATATTTTCAATGTGAAAATATAATTTTTTATACACAGAAGCTGTGGCATAAAATTAATTTAAAGCTCAAGCAATTCAATTGTAGATAGTCTTGGTCACCCTTTGAATTAAAAGAAAAAGTAAAAGCATACACACCGATTATTGACGTATTGCAGTTGAGAGGGGCCATAGCTGGCGAGAAAAGGTCCTTTCCGCAGACGTTGTCCGTGGCTGTGTAGAGCTTGGTGTTTGGCTTTGCGGTTGAGAGAGAAAAAGGACTGGCGGTCGGGTGCAGGATGAATTGTGAGAGAAAGAAAGAACGGCGTTTCTTGCTTACATGTTATATAGGCGGTTTGGCTTGATTGAATAACCGACCATATTATGACCATATTAATCAATATTATTTTTTCCATTTCAGTCTAAATTAAATAATAAATTATCATTAAAAACTATTAGACCCCAATGCATGCATCTTTAATAAGCAGGGCATTTATTTCTAGTTTTGATTTTCCGATTTCGTTTGGGATTTTGGTTTTCTGAATTAGAGCAGGAATATTTTGGTGATTTTGATTTTTTTGAGTCCCAAATAAAGGAAGTTAATTAATGTGGTTTTTTCTTTGTTTTACGTTTCCTTTTATTTCCAAGTTTGTGCTAATACTTCCGAAATTTGTGAGTCTTTTGTTTGTGACTCTTGCATATATACTTCCAATCCAATCCAATCCCTCTGTCCTCGTTCCTCTTTTCCTTTCTTTCCATCTCCTCCTTGGACTCCTCCTGCTCTGTTGCATGCGTAAGTATCCTCACTAAAATATTTTATTACTGTATCTTGATTGTCTATATTTTAAAGTTACCCTTATTTTAACCTCCTTTATTTGTCAGTTTTTAGTTCATAGAACTAGTCACTGAATACATGTAATGAAAAAAATCTAATCTCAAGTCAAGTAAGAATTTCTTATTTGGGTGGTTTTGTTTCATTTCTCTATTCCTTGAACTGGCCACAATGTTCTTCTTCATCTAACAGACCTCGTAAGCTCCGTGAACTTTGAGATAAGCTCAGATAGATTATATAAGTTTAATTGATGACAGAAAAAGTTAGAAACCATGAATTACACATTTGAACTCATTTCTAATTGTTAGCATCTCAATTGCTTATCTAATTGATTTATGAATTTAAAATCCATGCACAGGTTTTGCCGAGGGTTGAGGAGAATATAATTCCAACAGCATATTATGGACTCAGTTTAAACATTTTTGTTGAAGTGACCATCTCCAAAACATCGCCATTTGCAGCATGACTTTGGACCTTTTTGCCTAAACACACACTATAGTTTCTATCTGCTCTTTTTAAAAACTGATATTCCAGAGAGAAGAAACTAGAAAATAGTAAGTAATACCTAACCACTAGATGTTCCATCACATCAGATTTAAGACAATTGATCTTTCAAAAATATAACATTGAGATTATTAGTTTAAAAGAATTTGCCCCTGGTATTTTCATCTGTGCGAGTAATTCCTTGGCTCTTTGCTAATGCAGAACCTCCTTGCTACTCAACTTGGAGTTCAGAGGATCACATGCATTACCATTTCAACACAAAAGAGAAATGAACATACGTCCCTTTGCCAGATTTGGAGGATAGGTTCTTTTTCTCTCTAAGAAAAAATTAGTTAGGTTTGGTATCCATCTGCTTTGTCACCCTTTCATCCAGACACATAATGCTGCCTGATTTTTAATGTGCTGTATTTGCCATCTAAACTGCAACACCAAATGCTTTTGGTTATCGTTCTGTTCTGACCAGCCTTATGGACTGGTGCAGATTTTTGTAAGGACCAAGCCAACATCTACAGGCCTTGAAAGGTAATTCTTTATAGTTTCCAAATCTTATGATTGCATCTGATTTCTCTTCATACTATAAAAGCGTTTCTGTGTAAGTGGATTGTACTTGTAATTAATAGCATAAATTCAATTAGATAGGTATTTACCTAATCAGCAACTAGCTTATTTGTCTGCACACTTTCGGTTTCGGATTTATGGATAGGAAGCCTGCTTTTTTATACTCTGCACACAAAACATAACTTATGCATGTAGCTCCTTTAGTTTGCTTCATTTTCCAGTAACAAGTAAAATTTAAGAGCATCATATCAAAGCTCAACTCTCCAGTTACTTTTTCCCCCCAAAAATTTTCCTCTGTACAATTTCTAGGCACGCCTCAACAGGATTGGCAAGGGGAGGTTGTTGCCCCTGTTGAACAGACCATGGAAGGCGCTTGTTGTGTTCCTACTGATAAAAACATTTCACATCCAGTCATACATATGAAACACAAGCAATTGCACTCTGATCTATTTACAACTTCTATATATAATATACAAATGACAATACATGTTGTTTCAAAAGTGTTTTCTTATTATTCTCCCTTATAACAATTACTATTAACCAATGAAAGAACGACATGACTTCTATAAATATGAAGCAAAAAATAAGAACTTTCATTATTGTACACATGTGAAAGTCTACAAATCCCATAACCTCTTCTAATTTTTATTTCAAAGGAAATCTGTCTTCTTCTTCTTCTTTTTTGGGGGGGAGGGGAGAGATGGGGGGGGGGTGGACGATAAGAAATATAATCTCGTCATCAGGCAGTTTTTTCAGAGCATCTCATCCCTGTCCTCGGTAATTCCTTGATAACCATGGAAACAAAGTTTTCGCCAATAACTTCTTACAAAATTTCTGATTTCACATATGAACAGAAAAAAAGAAGAAGTATTTTCATGTAATTCAGAGATTATCCCCAAAATTTGTCCTCAACACTATAGCCTATTGGCAGTGAGGCTCACAAGTGTATTCCCATAACAGACACAATTAATGGTTTCAATGTGTCCACAGCACATTGTTTACTTACTCTAATTTCTGTCACAAACTAACAAGAGGAACACCTGACGGATGAAGCTCCATATGGATACATCAGCAACACTGTACAAAGAAGAATGAGTTTTTAAAAAATAGAACATAGTTCCATCATGACAGTAATTGCGTAACTGTTGCACACTATTGCATAAACGATGACTAGATTTTAAGTCATTCCATTGGCACTTGTGGTTTAGTTGTGAACTATTGCACACTGCATATGGACCTTCGAAATTGCAGAACACATTTTGCAAGAAAAAGAATTGATTTCAACACCCTAATTAACTCAAAAGATCTGGTGTACATATTCTAATTCTATATTTCATGTTAGTTTAGATCACACATTATTTTGGGGTCATCCACTGCTTCTTTGAATGAAGTTCAATGCAACTGCAGTCTCTGTTTCTCCTTTCACATTGTTATCAAATTTTGGCAATACTTGCGCTGGGTGTACAGTATCATCACAAGATTACATGAAGTAAGAAAAAACCTACAACAATTTTGGAAAAGGAAAAAGAGGAGAGAATGAGACTCAGAACGTCGCTTACCAACATGTCAATCCCAATGTTCGAAACAGGTGCTAGGCGGGCTGCAAGCAGGGGTCTAATGCCTAGAGGAGTAATCGGGGGCCCATCTCTTCTTTTTGTTTTTTTCATCAACATATAAATGCAATTTTCCTTCTCAAACCCTAACTCTAACACGAGCCGTCATCCAGCCCCTCTCTCTCGCTCAGACATAACCCGCGACCTCTCTTCTTCCTCAATCCTCATCTCTCTGTCTCTCGCTCATAGCACCATCGTCATCTCGTCCCTGACCTTGGAGATTCCAAAATGGCGTTTTTTTTTCTAGACCGCCTAGCGCCCGCCTAGCCCCCGCCTAGACCGCCTAGCGCCCGCCTAGACCGCCTAGCTCCCGCCTAGACCGCCTAGAGCCCGCCTAGCCCCCGCCTAGACCTCCTAGCTCCCGCCTAGACCGCCTAGAGCCCGCCTAGCCCGCCTAGGCCATTTATTCAGTAATATTAACAATATAGGGTTTAGGGTTTCAAATGGTTGATGAGGAACTCAACTCCTTCATCACAACCAACTCTAGCAGCAACGTGGAGGGGAGTTTCACCCTTGTTGTTGGTGGTCCAAAACAATGGCGATTGTGGTGGGATTTGTTTGAAGAAATCTATGTGCTTGAACTCAGCGGCAATGTGAAGTGTATTATTGTCCATAGGCATTTTCTGATGGAGAAGATCATCTGGTACGTCAGCATCTTTATTTTTTCTCAAGAAATCAACGTCACCTGATCTTGCTGCCTTATACAAGGAAGGATCTATCAAGTCATGTTTATTGATATTTTAGTGGCCGCTATATGTAAGCATCTTGACTTGTGATGAACTGCACAGAGCATATGCACAACGATTATTCCAGTGCGAGAAAGTCTTTTCAGATTCTTTGCCCTTGGTCTTAAAAATATTAGATTCTTGTCTTCTCTAGGGTGTATCTTCTAGTAGTCTCACTGTATTGGACTGGACTTCAATTAAAATGGACAAGAGTACTAGCCGTTGTATGGTGAGCCACATATTGCGCCGCCTAGACCGCCTAGCTCCCGCCTAGAGCGCCTAGCCACTGCCTAGACGGCCTAGCCCCCGCCTATGCCGCCTAGGCCATTTATTCAGCAATATTAACAATATAGGGTTTAGGGTTTCGCATGGTCTTCATCACAACCAACTCTAGCAGCAACGTGGAGGGGAGTTTCACCCTTGTTGTTGGTGGTCCCAAACAATGGCGATTGTGGTGGGATTAGCGTCTCAGTTACTTATCTAATTGATTTATGAATTTCAAAACCATGCACAGGTTTTGCCGAGAGTCGAGGAGAATATAATTACGACATCATATTATGGACTCAGTTTAAACATTTTTGTTGAAGTGATCATCTCCAAAACATCTCCAATTGCAGCGTTAGTTTGGACCTTTTTGCCTAAACTCACACTTTTTAAAAACTGATATTCCAGAGAGAAGAAACTAGAAAATAGTAAGTAATACCTCACCACTATAGTTGTAAGATTATTTGCTCATCTACTACCTAATTAGATGTTCCATCACATCAGATTTAAGACCATTGATCTTTAAAAAATATAACATTGAGATTATTAGTTTAAAAGAATTTGCCTCTGGTATTTTCATCTGTGCGAGTAATTCCTTGGCTCTTTGCTAATGCAGAACCTCGTTGCTAAACTTGGAGTTCAGAGGATCGCAGGCATTGCCGTTTTCAACACAAGAGAGGAACGAACATACAACCCTTTGCCAGATTTGGAGGTTAGGTTCTTTTTGTTGGAATCCCACATCGGTGGAGTGAAAGAAAAACAAATGGGTTTAAATAGAATTACCACACTCTAACTAATACCGAGGCCTTTTGTGATAAAACCCCACACCTGACGGATTGGGCGGGTGGTAAAGTGGGGACAGTATCGGTATTGTTAGAGTGGGACCCAACGGGCAGATCCAAATTTTCAACACTTTTTTTCCTCTAAGAAAAAAGTAGTTAGGTTAGGTATCCATCTGCTTTGTCACCCTTTCATCCAGACACATAATGCTGCCTGATTTTTAATGTGCTGTATTTGCCATCTAAACTATAACACCAAATGCTTTTGGTTATCGTTCTGTTCTGACCAGTCTTCTGGACTGTTGCAGATTTTTGTAAGGACCAAGCCAAACCTCTACAGGCCTTGAAAGGTAGTTCTTTATAGTTTCCAAATCTTATAGTTGCATCTGATTTCTCTTCATACTATAAAGCGTTTCTGTGTGAGTGGATTTGACTTGTAATTAATAGCATAAATTCAATTAGATAGGTATTTACCTAATCAGCACTAGCTTATTTGTCTGCACACTTTCGGTTTCGGATTTATGGATAGGAAGCCTGCTTTTTTATACTCTTCACACAAAACATGACTTGTGCATGTAGCTCTTTTAGTTTGGCTTCATTTTCCAGTAACAAGCAAAATTTTAGAGCATCATATCAAAACTGCAGAACAGGCCTTGCAATTATTAGCTAACATAACCCATCGACTCTGTTGAGCATTGTTGTTCTATTTAACAGGCATCATTTCCAACTATTGAAAAGAAAAGGAAAGTCTCCGCACACGATAAGAACAACGAGTAAGCAACAAAACTCCTTTACTCCTCCTTATAGTGAAATCCAATACACCAAAATTTTCTGATGCGTTGATGTCATGTCAGGAAAGAAAGAAAGAAAGGAGTCTGATATCTGAGCATGAGAAAGCATACTGATAAAATTGCTAAACTGGAAGAGTCCTTGAAAAAGAAGAAGCAGGTACTACCCCTCTCTCTCTCTCTCTCTCTCTTCCTTGAAAATAAAAAGAAGAAGCTTGTACTAATATCTCCATGTATATATATTTGTGTAAACATGTCTCAAAACCACATTTTCTGTTTATAAACTCAGGATGACAGAACTTGCAGCGTTCTGAGAAAGACTCTTGTCTCATTTCTGGAGAGTACTTCAGACGAGGACATCCCGGCTGATGATTGAATGAACATTCAACTGTTGAGGTCAAGTCGAGCGGCTAGACTCTTTTTTTAATTTTTTTTTAAAGAAATATTACAGCCGGGCGGCTATATCGGTTTTTTCAATTTTTTAATGAAATAGTATCGCCGATCGGCTATACTCGTTTTTAACATTTTGGTAAAGAGATAGTACAGCCGCGCTGCTTGACTCGGTTTTAATTTTTTTAAAGAAATAGTATAGCCGTGCGGCTATACCCTGGTTCCCCAATTTTTTTTAAAGAAATAGTAAATCCGAACGGCTATACTCTGTTTTTAAATTTTTTTAAAGAAATAGTATAGCCGAGCGGCTATATTTGGTTTTCGCAATTTTTTGCAGAAATAGTATAGCCGCCCGGCTATACTGGGTTTTCTAATTTTTTAAAGCAATAGTATAGCCGATCGGCTTTACCTGTTGTTTAATTGTTTTTAAAATAGATAGTATAGCCGGCCGGCTATACTCGTTTTTCTCATGTTTTAAAAGCAATAGTAAAGCCGATCGGCTATACTATGTTTTTCGACTTTTTTTAAAGAAATAGTATACTATTTCTTTAACAATGGAGACAATCTTCCCCTCCTTTTCCTCAACTGCTCACTTACGCATTTCATAAATGAAACAAAATCAACCATTTGGTGCCAAAACAATAATATAGAGCCTGTGAGGCATCACGATGTCCTTGCCGGTTATCCAGTAATGTTGGTAAGCAAGCAAGCAGGCTGCAGTTTTTCTGATATTGCTGTAAAATAGAAAATAAATTAAAGTCCATTATGACACTCATATTTCAATGCAGAGCCAAAACAGAGGAAGTCAAATACTCAGTAGAATTCGTAAACAAACAAGCAAACCTACAGCTTCTTTCTTGACGGGTTCACCATCATCTACACAGAAATATGCTCATGCGTATACAAAATGCATTGGTATATACGCAGAAATTTGTTCATGCGAATTGGAATGTTTTTTGTTTGGTACAACTTTCAATATCATTAAAAACTTGTAGTAATAGTTCAGAGAGCAAAGTGACATTTAGATAATAGTTCAGGTTCACAATTTAGTGTATATTATATATTCATTTCACGTCGAGAAAGTAAAAATTCTTGATGGAATATATTATATTATTGAAACAGATTCATTATCCATTGATCAATTGGTTAATATCTCAAAGCCACTTGCCCTTTTGTATCCCCTCCATAACTTCATTGTCCGTAAGAAGATCCAAACTTCCAAATTCGACCTGATGTCTCTTCAACATGTTAACAGCTATTTTGCTAAATTCACATTTGGGATCCTCAGGGGTTCCTTTCATGAAAAGCATGACTCGGTTGGAGTCAATCAGCTGTTGCAGCCGCCTTTTCAAGGCATCATCAAGGCCATCTTGCGCTTCAATTTGCTCCTGGGAAGATTCATTTTCTTTTGTCAACTCTGGAGCAGGTTCTTCAGGCTTAACTGCAACTTTATTAGCCAAACTAGATGGATCTGCACCTTCTAATGTATCAGCCACCTTTCCATCCTGCCAAGAGACAGCACAAACAACAAATATGACCAAGAGAATAACAAAGTTAAGCTTCTGATTCGATCAAAGTTAAGCGTTCTATTGCATGTGACATCTAAACACCTCAAGTTGCAGTATAATAAAGAAAACCACCATCTAAAATTCTCTCAGATTTAGTAAATCACTTTTTGAGTGGATTAGCTGGAGAGAGAAGAAGAGAGAATCTTGTTTTTTGTTTTTGTTTTTTTATGTTTGTATTGTTGAGGTAAAGTTCATGGGCTTTTGTTTTTTGGTCTGAAATTCACTGGGTATCTAGGGTATTAAACAAACAAAACATACCTAGTCAAACAAACAAAATGATTGCATCAACTCATCGTCCTCAGATCCTAGTCAAACAAACAAAATTATACCATTGAACTTCTACCACCCCACTCTAACAATTTGAGTTTGGCATCACAACCTGAGCCATAGTTAAATCTCATTTAAAACAACATTCATACTGCCACTACTATCATATACTTATCAATAATAACAAACCCAGGGCCATCCCTAATATTTGAGAGCCCTGTGCGAAACTTAAATTGGGGTCTCACATCTAATATGAAAATAAAATAAATAAAAATTTGCCATAACTTAATGTCATAAACAATTTTTTTTATAACTAAAAGTCACCATGAATAAATATGTAATGACAATTAGAAATCAAATTCATAAAAATTTAAATGTTTCTATATGATAAAATTAAATGTTTGGTACAAAAATTAGCTCTTTGTGCCCCTACAAGGTCCATTGCTACCTCCAATAAGCAATTTAATAGGAAAAACAATTGGCAATCACAAATTAAAGAGTAGTTGCACACAAATTCCTGAAATTTGAATCTGACTATTTGATTTTGAGTGGTCTTTATAAATTTAGGAATTAGGGTTTTCTCTTTTTGGTGTTGAAATTCCTGAAATTGAAAGAATAACAAAAATTGTCAAACGAGGATTGAAAAAAGAACCAAAGAGAGGTTGATGAATGATGATGATTACTTACCAGAAAATCAGAGTTTAAGAGAAAGAAGAAGCCATGGAGTTTTTTTTGTTTTGTTTTGAATGAAGAAAGTACTTTTCTTAAAGGAGAAAACTTTTTTTTTTTTTTTTAAAGAATGATACGTAAGGAGTAGAAAGTGTTTGGAGGATATATAAACTCCTCATGTGGTTAGCTTTTTATTATTATTATTATTTTCAGGCCTCCTGTGTTTCCTTTTATTTTGAAGGCTTTCTGTTTTTTTTTAATTGTTTTTTAATTTATTTAATAATTATGTAAAGTTTTTAGTTATAATGCAAAAATAATATAAAAACAGCAAATAGACCGCCTTGCGGGCAACAAGATTCAAACTCTGGCGCTTCGTTAAATGGAGAAGCGCTGGAGCCAACTCCACCAAAGACGCCTTTTTGCAAATGTCTAGCACGCTATAGTATATATATACAATTCCTACAATATTAATATATATAATATAAAGAATTTTTTTTTCGGGGGCCCTGTGCGGTGGCGCCACTTGCACCACCCCAGGGCCGCCCCTGAATAAACCCCAAAACTTAATTTCAAACTAAGTAACCTGATTATTTAAACAAAACACCAGAAAATAAACCCAGTTAGAGATGCGAAGTGGACAAATACCTCATCCATGTGCTTCGAAGCCTCACACCTTGAGGGTCAGACCACCTAAGTCTTTCAAATTCTAAATCGTAAACGTGCCAAAACAAGGAGAAAGATGGAGACAAGAGAAAGAAAGACAGACTATTATATATAAAGGCAGAGTCATAATTTTCAGAAAACTTTTTTTTTTGTCCAAAGAATTTAGGGAAACTTTCATAATACAAAGAAACATCCTTTATTAATTAGACTTTTAAAACAAGATAACTTGATTAATATGAAATAACGTAGTGGGTACTTAATTGTGCCATCTGTTTTTTAAAAAAAAATTTATAAAACTTTAATTACTTCTTATTTTTATATTTCAAAAATATATTCCTTCTAAAAAAAGACTTTACATATCAAATAAAAAATATATATTCACGATAGTGAATATTGATTTGTGAATTAAAGTTGGGAAATTGGGTATTTTAGTCTTTTGGGCCTGATAGTTGTGTCAACTGGAATTAGGGCTCCTACAACAGTGGGCCTGATTTTATGAATTGTGTTTTCCAGGCTTACAAATTTTTGGTATTGAGAATTAGAGAGAGGTGAGAAATAGACATTGTAACCAAAAAAAAAATGTTTCCTAGCCAAATGAATCATTCATTTGTATCCCAATCTAACAATACGACATGTCACACTGTTTGATAAAAGAACACTAGCCGTATGTATGGCACTAATATAAAAGCTCAAACCAAAAAAAGTAGAAATTTATAATAGATAAATGAAGTATCAAGATTTCAAACAAAAGATGCAATAACATAATATTCAAAGTCAATACATTGCATCCAACAACAACAACAACAAAAAGGTCAATACATTGCAAATGCCTCAATATATTTTCTTCTTTCAAAATCAAAATCGAACGAAAGTTCACTCCTACACGACACGGGGCCAAAAGGAAAAGCTTCACTCTTCTTTCAAAATCAAAATCACATTACTTTCTCTTGTGCAACCTTTCAATTGTGTATTCTAACCAACACTTTGATTGATGATCAAAGGGTATTTTGTTTCACTCCCGGGTTCGACCGTCCAATTCTTCCAAGAGGAACAAGTTACAATTTGGAGAATGAATGCAAATTACAAGAACAAACAATTGACCTCTTCTAGTGTGAATCATAATCAACAACGTCATCTGTTGCATCAGAGCTTTTTAGTTAATTTCTACCACCAATTTCCTTTCACATTCCTTCAAGTGGATACCATCCATCTCAGATTGCAAGCCACCATTCTGTCACTTTTGGATTCATATTCATCTTATAATCATCTTGTTTCTTTTGCTAATTATATGCAAGCTATAAGGGAGGGGGGGGGGAAAAAAAAAAAAAAAAAAAAAAAAAAAAAAAAAAAAAAAAAAAAACGAGTTGTTTATACCTTGGCACCAAAGTTACCACAAGACCTGTTATCATCTTCAACTCATCCCCAAACAAGTCTGTTATATTTATATGCAGCCCTTTTTTTTTCATCTTTTTTTTTTCTTCATCTTATTTTGTCTTATTTAGTAGCCTGCATATAGAAATAACGGACTTGTTGGAGGACAAATTGAAGACTGTAACAACAGTCGGATGATGACTTTGTTGCCAAGGTATGAAAAACTGCCACACCAGTAACAACAAAGGCTGCATATAAAGTAACATATCAAATTACAAATATAGAGAAAACAAACCCACAGAGACTGCAAAGCTTACTCTAACAGAAGCTAAGAGCCTGAGAAGTGAAAGAAGAGAAGAGCATCCATTAAAAGAAGAGGCTCAGGCCATACATGGATAGAGAGACAGAGGAGGCTGAATTTGATAATTCAATAACACCCTTAAACTAATGCTAACTAGTTTAGCAGTAGAAGGGAGGTAGTGTTGCTGCAAGCTCATTCTGTTGCATTGATTTTATTATATACACAACATAAAATTTACATTTCTGATGCAGAGTACATTAGTACACATCTTCTAAGATGTAGTACAAATTGATTTGCAATGCAGTGCAGTAGTACTCCTACTACAATGCGAGCTAACATAAGATATTCCAAATAGTTTCGGTAGTTTCTCATCTCCCACTCTTAACTCAGTGATAAAACACAGCCTAATTATTGCTCACATCACAATCCAAAACATCATTGCAGCAAATGATGTATGCCGTGTTTGATGGACCAATCAACCTACTAACACTCGATCTACTGACACATTTTCTATCAAATTCGAGTCTCCCGATCGACGGGGAAAAACAAAAATTGGGCCAGCAGCTACACTTTGATAAATGGAACGTAGTCCTCGATCGTCAGTATAAAAGTTGGGCTGCAAACATATCTCTCCATGAGCACAATTTTTGGGCTGCACTAACTTAGCATGTGCGTAGTCTTCATAGCCGACAACCCAAAGAAGAGTGAAGATATTAGAAACTTGGGACGTGCCTAATTACAAGTCATGTGAGGCGGGCGCGATTAGTCATCACAAATTGTCAATAAGAAATTTTCGTCCTTATCAACAACTATGCCTATGTAGATTTTATTTCTGTGGCTGTAAATGTGATTAGTCATCACAAATTGTCAAATACAGCAGTTCCATAAATTGTTCATACAGAAGAAAACAAACCAAAGCCATGGCTTCTCCTCCCCCATTATCATCCAACACAATTACCACTTTTTACTCCCCCGCCCCTTCAATCAGTCATATCTTTCCAAACAAAACCCAGATTTCCTTACTCAGAAATCGTTTCAGAGGATCATGTAAAGCAACAATCAATAGTGACCAAAACCATGTAAAATTTGATGGGAGGAGAAATGCGCTTGTTGGTCTAGGAGGGCTCGCCTTGGCTAATCTGAGCGGCATAACAAGGCCTTTTGGTGCAGCAAATGCGGCAGAGACCCCAAAAAAAGTAGCACTGGTGCAGAGCAGTGAGCTGCCCATAGCTTTGGACTCGGTGATCAGTGTGATTGTGGAAAGGCCAAGGAAGTCGAGGAGCCAGAAGGAGAAGGAAGAGGAAGAGGAGGTTTTGGTGATTGAAGGGATTGAGTTTGTGGCAGATAAGGCTCTGGTATTTGATGTGCATGTGAACGATGATGAGAACTCGCTGAGTCGACCCGACAAGGTCGAGTTTGCTGGGAGCTTGGTGTTTTTGCCGCAGTACAAGAAGAAGGTGAAGACCAGCCTGCATCTTGGGATAACGGACTTGTTGGAGCAAATTGGAGCTGACGATGAGAGCTTTATAAAGGTCACTTTGGTGCCAAGGTATGTCCTGCGTCCTGTCACCATTGGTGGGATCAAGATCGATTATTTTGCCTAGCCTTAGCCTGAGCCTACGACCGCATAATGAATTAAGATACTGAATCAAGTTGCTCTGTTTCAACTTGTGTAAGTTTCATCCTCTATAAGTTTGTGTAACACATACGAGCTAAGTAGCATTGTTGTTTTGATTAGTTAAACCACAAAATCATGCAAAACAAACATTTTCTTCATTGCGGGAAGACGAGTTTGAACAATCAATCTATATGTCAGATTGAGAGAGACCCCAAACCTTCCCAACCCCAAAAGTCACAAGATGCCAAGCAAATGCAGATAAAAGTGGAGATGGAAGCTCACGTAACACGTTCTTTTCTGCAGTGAAATTTTGGTGGAATGCTCTCAAACAACACCCCAAAAGACAAAAGGCTAGAAACTTCAGCAACAGATTATACTATTATTGGTTTTTGAAGTTGCCGCAAGAAATATCAGTTATTGGGCTTCCTCTATGGATTTGAAAAGGTGTTACACTGTAGTATCCAATTTCTAACATTAATTAAATATTATCTTGGCGATTGCAAATTAAAGTCATTTTATTTGGGAACTTTGCTGGAGAGATCACATTATACAATTCGTCTTTGTTCTGTTTCTAATGCCGACACCAACTAGTCAGTCAAACATTTCGTCGAATAGTTGATAGACGAAAGCAACAATTAAGTATTAAAAACCCAGAGCCATCCATCAGCTATGGCTTCTCTTTCACTTTCACCTTCACCGCCCTTACGCGTCATTCTCAATCGTAATCGTAACACCGCCTTCTTCACTTCTTCAATCTCTCAAAACCCTTCTCGAATTTCCTTCTTGGGAAATCGTAAAGCAGCAAGCTTTCTAGTTAAAGCAGCGAAATTGGAAAGGAGAGAGCTTCTCATCGCAACTCTAGGAGGGTTCGGAGGTTTCTACTGCGGATCGAAGATGAGCCAAGCAACAGGGGATTTGGGTGAACCAGCAGCAGCATATGCGGCCGAGACTTCTTCAGACAACAAGGTTGTGGAACTCACTCAGTTCCCGATCACTCTTGACTCGATGATCAGCGTGGTTGTGCCGCGACCCAAGAAGTCGAGAACCAAGAAGGAGAAGGAAGAAGAAGAGGAGGTGCTGGCGATTCAGGGGATTGAGTTCTTGGCAGACGAGGCTGTGAAGTTCGACGTGCACGTGAACGACGACGAGGACTCGCTGAGTCGACCCGACGCGTCCGAGTTCGCGGGAAGCTTTGTGTATTTGCCGCATAAGAGGAAGACGGTGACGACCAGCCTCAGGCTTGGGATCACGGACTTATTGGACGACGTGGGCGCCGACGGCGATGACAGCATCAAGGTCACTCTGGTCCCCAAGTATGTGAAACGACCTGTCACAATTCGTCACATCAAGATCGAGTTTCTAAAGTAGCTTAGGAGAGGAGAGGAGGTGTGCCGTATGATCTGTTGTGATGTCGTTTTTTGTTGTTGTATTTGTTGTTGTTAATGCTTTCTGTAATTCTGTTTGCTTTCGCTAATTAGCAGTAATTATCCTTGTGGCTTTATCTTTCTTTTTTTCCCTTATAGAAAATCAGACTGATTATATTTACTTGGGAAAATGCTAGATTTCATCCTAAATGAATATGAGATTTAATTTAAGAAACGAAGGGATAGAAAATGGTGATTATTTACTTGCTCCATGTCCTAATAATAGAGCTCTCAACAAGAATTCTATAATGAGGGTCTTATATATGGCATTTAGGTGTGATCTTATTTTTTAATCGTTGAATTAAATTGAGTAGCCGTTGGATTAAATTGATTAGTTTATTCAATGATTAAGAGATAAAACCTCACTTACGAAGTTACGAGTCATATACAAGGCCCTCACTATAAAATTACTCGAGCTCTCAATATTTATTATACATCAAATATGGTGATGATTTTTTGGGAAAAAAAATGGTGATGATTTTGACACTCCAAACAAAAACAAAGTTATCCTTAATGGATTGAAATTAGGGAGTTTCACTAAAACACCCAAAATGGGGGCTGAAATTATAAAAAAACCCAACACCCAAAATACTTTATAAACACACCCAAAACCCATCATTACACACACTCAAAACCCATTATAAACACACCCAAAAATATACAATTGTTAATTTTAGAGTTGATTTTGGGTGTGTTTCTATGTTTAAATAGTGCTTGGGTTTTTTTATAAATACATGTCTAGAATTGGGTTTATTTATAAATTTGTACTGAAATTACGCATCACATTTTGGGTCATGCAACTTTAACTCGCTCACAAATTCATAATATTGGGCTAGCCCAAAATCAGTCCAACACAAGAGATTCATACCCAATTTGCACATAGCCTCCTCATTGGTCAACGTCAGGATTGTAAATTATAAAACAAAAATAAATTAAAAGGAAAGTGGTCCCTAATAATCTATATCTATATATATAATACAAATATTAAGAATTGAAATTATTAATTAAATGAGGATAATATGATAAATTCACATTTTTTTATATTTAAAAAAATTAAAACTAAAAGAAAAATCAGATAATGAATCCTATTTTATGAAACACAACTATTCCATTATCTTTTTAAATTCTAAAATAAATTTTAAAATTAAAAATTAAAAAAAACCTCTCACAAGTGCGGAAACGTGTGTGGAGAGACTAGTATATATAAGGCACAAGATAGAGAATAGTAAAACATTCAAAATACTAAAAAATATCATTGGTTAATGCAAACATTAAAAATTTAAATGATTAATTAAATGAGAATAATATGGTAAATTCACATTTTTTCAATATTTAAAAAAATTTTAAAATTAAAAGAAAATTCAAATAATAGATCATATTTTTATAAAACACAACTATCCATTATCTTTTTTAATTCTAAAATAATTTTAAATTTTTTTTAAAACAACCCCTCACAAATACGAGTCCAACTTTCCTGTTTCCCTTGTCCCTGTGCCCACCCTGTTTCTCTCTTATTTTTCTAACACGCGTGTCCTGTTAACTAACAGAAGGTTAACTCTGTTTAATATGGCAATTTTATTAAAATTTTATCAAATATTCGTTCATCTTCATCTTCCCTTTTAAAAAAAATCGTCTTCTCTGCAACCCTCCGCAAACAGCACACCTTAGCTGCAGCCCCCTCTACTCGTCACTGCCCCAAGCCTCCCTTTCTCTCTCTTTGAATTTCTGTACCATATGAAGATAGTCTGAACTCAACCCGACCTCTTCTCCCACTTCGAATGCATCATCAACCACTGCCATAGCTCTTTTGTTCCTTTTGGATTTTTTAATGTCTTTAAACTTGTTTCTTTGATCGGCCGATCATCAATGAGACAAAGCCTGAGAACAATCGCACCTCGAGATCACTATGGAGAAAACAAAATTTAAAGTTTTTTATACCAAAAATTTAAAACTTAAAATAGTTCTCAGTTCTCCCAACGTTTTGGGGTTTTTGTTTTGGGATTTAGTAGTGAGAGAGTCGAGAGTGTGATGACGAAAGGCGCATGCTTCTTGTTCCAGATCTGTTTCCTCTCAAAACCTTCATATTCAGATCTTCACCATGAGAGAGAGAGAGAGAGAGAGGGTGGGTCGGCTGTTGCATTTTTGCTTGGGTCGCTGTTGGGTTTCTGCTTTTTTTTTATTTCTTTTCATTTTATTCTGTCTTTTTATTTTCATTTTATCCAAAGGTAACAGCGCTGTGTTTCATGTTAAGAGAGGGCAGGTGTCAGAAGAATAAGGGGGAAACAGGGTGGGCTCCACAAATACGGAAGTGCGTGTCGAGAGACTAATAATAGGGATATCACTATTAATTATCATGATAGCAATCCAAGAAAGTTTCTCTCCTACTACACATACCCACGTGCATGTGTACGCGAATTGTCTTAAATTTGGTCTACCTAAAGTGTTACTAAATTTAAATGCACTATTAATACGGTGATAGTCTTATCCTCCGTAAGATTTTCTAGATCTTCGACTTGGTTTCCGGATGGATCCAAAGCACATGTCTTTACACCGACCATCAGATTACCAAATGTGACTGTCATGCCTTCCCTACAAATCTCACTGACTGCCATTACTCATCTCATCTGCCCTTCACCCTGGATATTATGACACCTTTGAATTATTTTTATAGTATACCTAAAAAGGTAAAATTCTCTTTTAGATGTGGATTATGCTACTTGATTAAGGTATTGAATCAAATGTAGGCTCCCATGGCATTATATAATGCATGATGTTTATATATTTTATCTAATTATTAACAATTAATATACTAATTTCTTATTAAAAAGCTCGAGTATTATTATAACACAAATTTTGTTATATGTAGTGCTGTATTGTAATGCAATGAATGCAAATCGGTAGAGGACGAGAGGAGATCCATTATCCAGATTCAAAGGCTCGAGGTCGTCTGAGTCGAGCTGTAGGTAGGCCATAGCTGATGATGGATGATATGACATGACATTCAGAAAGATGACAAGAGGAACGTCCCTCTCTTCCCTCGTGTTTAATTCTTACCAAGAATCATTCATTGTCATTGGTCCTACATCTGTCATGTACAGTCAACAACTTGGTCGTAGAATACTCTTCTCTCTCTAATAATTTCACCCTAATAAAATATCCACATTCAACAGGGGTATTATATATCGGACTTTTTTTTTGGACTTTTTTCAAACGTCAATTATTTTTTTAAAGAAAATATCTGATTTTTTTTTCAAAAAGAAGAAATGTCTACTTTTTTCAAAAAAGAAGAAATGTCTGCTTTTTTCAAAAAAGAGGAAATGTCTGCTTTTTTTTAAACACAAAGGACTTCTTTTTCTTTTCCTTTTTTCTATCAAAATCCTTTGTGTTTATAAATAAAAAAATAAAAAAAAGGACATTTCCTTTTTAAAGCAGATATTTTCTTTATAGAAAAATAATTTACATTAGAAAAAAATTAATAAGATGGTAAGAAAGTTGTGAATTTTTTTTGGATAAATTGAATACATTTAATAAGGGTAAACTTGGAAAAGAAAAGTAGCTTGTATAATATATTAATGACATTGTTTTAAGAGTAAGGAGAATGACACACGTCAAGTAAAAAAGGGAGAATATCCAAAGAAGAAGGTTAGAAAGAAGGTTGCTAGCATTCCTAATTCTATATCATATACCATATTATAAGGTTTAGGGCTGTCATCCACCTATATTCACACATGAACAAGACGTAACACATAATCATATTATTGTAATATTTTATAATTTTATAATTTTTTCGAAAAAAATATTAGGCTTATTATATTGTTATACCACATTGTATATTATATTTCTAATAGAGGTGGACTCCATTATATTAGTGGGCTCTACCTCTATTAGAGAGGTAATACACAATGTAATAAGCCTGGTATTACCCAGCTCTTCGTTATGGGGAGATTTGCCATAAATATCATGCATTGGATTTAGATCGAATAGCTTCTAGCAAAGGCACTGGCCGACTCACGAATTTTTTAGCAGATGTGCAATGTTGAAAGGCTAAAAATTCTTTGTGGATTGAACATATAAAGCTTTTTACCTAGATTGACATTTAGTCCCTTAATGCATTCATATCATACATGAAAAATTATTTTATGTAAAATTATTGACTAAGTATGAAAAATGGTTTTTCGGAATAATCATTTTCTCATTATAATTTTTTACGGCTTTTATTCCTTACACGTCAAATAAGAAAACTTGATTTTATGAGATTTTATTATGAAGTATATATTGACTTAATGAACCATCATTTTTAGCCTAAAGTGCATTTTGCACTAAAACCGATTTTTCATATTTTGTTTTGTCGAAATTTGATTTTTTAGTATTTTTATTTGAATCCAAATGGGGGGTACTTCCTTATTTACATTGTAAACTTAAATAAATGAAAATAAAGACATTTACATAAATGCTGAAAATAGAAATAAGTTAATCTGTACACATGAAGTGCACAATTTAAAGCACATAGGTTGGCCACTGGGCAGAGGTATTAATAAAAGTAAATAAGAGTCTAAGGATACGGTGATGTTTCAGTAGAAGATAATTTTTAATTTTATCTTTTCAATAAACATCGTTTTATTTGGAAAATAAAAATAATAATAGTTGGATCCTCAGTTGGCCTTTATAACAAGAGCAAACACGTTAAGCGCTCCACCGACCGAAGCAAAGCCATGGCCACTGCACCCTCTCCCACAACCATGGGCACTTACTCTTCTCTCATCTCCACCAATTCCTTCTCAACTTTCCTCCCAAACAAATCCCAACTTTCCTTATCTGGAAAAAGCAAGCACTACGTTGCACGCAGGTCATCAATCTCATGCAAAGCCACAAATAATAACAATAGCAATAATCAAAATGAACAACAAGAAGAATCTTCTCGTTTGTTGGGAAAATTGGACAGGA